TCGATAAAAGAGAGTGTGATCTTGAATTCATAGAGTTAGCATCAAACCATGGGTTTTACAAGCGCTTTTGGGCTATACCCTCTGTGAGGCTGAAATAATGTTTGGTTTTCTGTAAGAAATCCTTTTGGTGCTGCCTAAGTTATGTGCTCTGCACGTGTGCCTCGCAGGTACGCGGACATCATCGTCCACCGCCTGCTGGCAGTGGCTATCGGAGCAGACAGCACCTACCCAGACCTCATGGATAAGCACAAACTCGCAGAGCTCTGTAAAAATCTCAATCACCGACATAAGATGGCTCAATATGCCCAAAGAGCATCTGTTGCTTTCCATACCCAGGTAAGGAAGGCTGCGGTGGAAGCATTTCCCAGGGAAAATTCCAGTGTTTTTAAAGGGAAATTGAGGAATATCGAGTGATAGCAATTGCTTTACAGTGCAGGTGTGTGGCACGAAGCAATCAAGACTGCAGGAATGATTAAGAACAAGTGCTGTTTCTTTGGGGGGAAAAAAGCCTCAAAAATACAGTGCTGATTCTGGAAAAATCAGCATAATGGCATCTTTAGTATTGCTTTTACTTTGTTTTTTTATAAATACGATAATGCTACAAGAGTGTTATAAAGAAAGCTGATAGGATTATTTGAACTTACTTTAACATGTATTTTTTAATGTATTTTTAATGTATTTTTAACTTGTATTTGCTCATGTACTTGCTCTATATAGASATTATATAGATATATAATGTATAACATATGCTATAGAGTTGTTCTTACATATATTTTTCTTGCCCTTGTTACAGCTGTTCTTCAAAACCAAAGGAGTGGTAAATGAAGACGCCTATATATTATTTGTAAGAAAGAATGCAATTGTGGTCCTGATTCCCAAGTATGGTTTAGAAGGAACAGTCTTTTTTGAAGAAAAAGATAAACCAAGCCCCAAACTTGATTACAACAGCGAGGTATGTTTTATAATTTGTATTATTAATTACCTTTATTTTTTGACTTGGTAACTGATCAGAATAACTAGAATTTCTTCTGCTTGGCTTTGAAGGCCAGTGAAGTCTTCAGTAAATAAAAAAAAATACTGAATAAATCTTAACTGGTAAGCCTTATAAAAGCTTAAATAAAAAGAGGGTTYTGAAGGAAGAAGGGGTTTCTGTTTTGATACCTAACTGAATAAATACTGCAAAATCACATGTTGTGGGCGTTTACGACCATAGTCTCTCTTAATTTTTAGTAGCATGCAGTATCCAGCAGCATTACAAATTCTGTATAAAATATTTATTTGTATAAGAATATATAGTATACACTGTAAGCAGCAAGTATTTATAAGTTTAAACTTTCAGGTACAATCACTTACTGTGGAAGACACAACCCTGCGCGTGTTCGACAAAGTTAGGGTGAACATTGTGTTAGATGCTTCCAACATCCAACACCAGAAGATTCGCATGATACTGGTAGAACCAAAGGTAAGGCACAGGTTTTGTACTGTAATGTTTTCTGAGGCACAGCTGGAGATTTAACTTAAATGCATTTAGCAGCAGAGTGGAGCAATTGCTGCATATCTGCCCTCAACAAAATACACATCTGAATTTGCCTTCTTGGCCTGTATTTCAAGTGATGGGGAAGCTGAGGGATTGCTGAAGATCTCCTGAATTTCACAGTTCTGTTACTACTTTTTTAAAAAATGTAGATCTCAGCGTAGGGTTCCAGTACTTTTAGTTCCRGTAAGTGACTGTGCAGTGGTGGGAGTAGCTCAGGCTGCTGAGGGCAGCCACGAAGTCTGTGTCAGGGCCCGTTCTTGGAGGGACAACAGAAGGAAGTGTGTGAATGTCATCCCTTTCTTAAAACTTCCACAATATAAAAGTATCTCTCRCTGATGGTTTAAGAACTCTATAACATCCAGAAATTGATTTCTCTCTGGTGTTAACTACTTTAGATTCAAGCTTTTTGCTGGTGCCAGTAGAGTCTGTTTTCCACTTACTTCAAGTTTTTAGAGTTTCTGCTGACTTCACATCCCTTTTTCCTGTGTCTTGTCCTCAGCTACAACTTGGCCTGCGTTGATACTGTTAAACGTATCAGTTAAACTGATACGAGTTAAAATGCCCCGGGGGGCCCCATGCATGTGGTTTGAGGCTCCCTTTCACCCCTCATTCCACAGCTCCCCCTTCCCACACATAGAAGTGGGGCTAAGGCACAGCAGAACAGCTGAAAACCGGGCACTGCTACTCCATATAAAAGCAGCAGGGGCAATAGATAAATGAGGGTGCTGGAGGTTGCACAGAAATCTCTCTGTATTAGAAAGTTCTCATTTTTTCCCCAGATTTTACTTCCGTTTAGGGTTTGAGGTGTGATAGTGTAAATTCAGCAGCCTCCTTCTGGGTGCCTCCTGTAAGACTTAGCAACATCAGCAAATTCTTTGAATTCACTTATGCATACCTATAAATTTTATCAATATAATTAAATTTTCAAGCTATAGTTTTGACTTACCTGTTTCCTCACTCTTAATTCTGTTTCACTGTAGATACTAGGAAAAGATGTCCCTGCAGATGCAACTACAGAGACAAGTATCAACAATGAACCTGAAAAAAAGAAGAAGAAATCACAAGAATAAKGGGATAGAAGAGCTAATTAAAAGAAAAACAGACCTACACACCTGTGAATTGTTTGTATTTACATGTCTTTTCTTATGGACAAACTGCTACGGTCATTTTATGTTTACTTTTAAATATGTATTTTAATAACTTGCAAAACCGTGGACTTTTAAATGTTTTTTTTACCAGTTTATGTATGTAAGAGCACAATTAATTTCAAATCAGGTGTGGCACTATGTTGTCTTCTGGCTGAAAATAAATACTTCTGGAAAGGTGAAAATAATTGCAGGGTGTTGGGTTTCGTGATTGCTTGTTCTTTAAGTAGCTATGTGACCTMTAAAAAGTTTGGCCTCACTATGTATTTCTCAACATCAGTTTCATAGAAGCTCCCACTCTGGAGAGAGACCCTCAAGCAGCAGTTTGCTGCTTTCAGGGGGATGATTTTTGATGTCAAGTTAGTGGCAGTGTTGCTTTGTAAGAGAAACACTTTGACTTGACGTGGGGAAGGAGTCAGAAAGCAGCGCTCCTCCCCAGCTAGCAATGCTGCCAGCCCGGAGTCTTTGCTGTTGGTACTGTGCCGGCACCCTCACAGGGGTAAGATTCAGTGCTTAAAAAGGAAACAGCTCTTTCCACGCTAGGAATCTTCGTTCTSTCACTTCTCCACCCTTGTTCACACCTTTTTTTGGTCAATCATTGGCTACTACATTGGTCATGATTCATTGAGGAAGCTACAGCAAAGTCAGAAGGAGAAAGCAAGGAGATATATAGATCTCCCTTGTTAGGAGATCTATATAAGACATCACTTTCATTTGTAAAAACAGCTACGGTCAAGAGYTGACAAAAGTAACTGTAGTAACTAACTGTGCCTTCCTGTAATCAAGCACAGAACAAAAACCTGCATAAGCAGTAAATGCAGAGAAAACAATTAATAAAGGAGTGCTAGTCCAAGTTAACTGTAAAAGATTTATGAAGTTATCTTCATAAGGTAGGTTGTTTCTTGCAACTCAGCTTGTAAAGCTTAGTAATGTTCTTTAAAAACAAGCCCATGAAGAATCCCAGAGTGGCTAAGGTTGGCAGGGACCTMTAGAGACCATCCAGTYCAACCCTCTGCTCCAGCAGGGACWCCYAGAGCACGGGGCACAGGGCGGCATCCAGGCGGGTTGGGAAGATCTCCAGAGAAGGAGACTCCACAACCTCCCTGGGCAGCCTGTKCCAGGGCTCTGGCACCCTCACAGGAAAGTTCYTCCTCATAGGCAGATGGAACTTCCTGTCTTGCAACTTATACCCATTTCCCCTTGTCCTCTCACTGGCCACCMCCAAGAAGAGTTTGACCTCTTCCTCCCTACATTCTCCTCTCAGGTACTTGYACGTATTGATGAGATCCTCACTCAGCCTTCTCCAAGCTGAACAGGCCCAGCTCACTCAGTCTCTCCTCATATGAGAGATGTTCCAGTCCCTTAATCATCTCTGTCACTCTCCACTGGACCCTCTAGAAGCTCCACATCCCTCTTAGCCTGGGGAGCCCAGAACTGCCCCCAATACTCACCAGAGCTGARGAGAGGGGCAGGATCCCCTCCCTCCACCTGCTGGCAACATCCTCCTGATGCAGCCAGGATCCCATTGGCCTTCTTGGCCACGAGGGCACACTGCTGACTCAGGGTTAACTTGGTGTCAACCAGGACTCCCAGGTCCTTCTCTGATGGACTGTAGCCTGCTGTTTCTGGCTGTAGTGYTGCCAACACCAGGAAGAATGGAAGAGAATAGGACCTGTGCACCCACGTTCCTGATGATCTGCCCCAATTCCCTAAAGTCCCTTTTGGTTGTCCTGAGGCTGCGCATCACTGCTTCTTCTCCTCCCAGATGCAGAACCATTAGTGGATAATGATCTGTGGGTTGAACCAGGCTAGGAAGTTGCCTGGTGACAGCCCAAAGCCAGGCCCCAGGAAGGCAACAGACAGGTTTTAGAGGAGAGTCTGGTCTACACATCTCCTCAAAGTTTTTCTGAGGCTTAGATAATTTTAAGGAAAATCTAAGTAATAACTGGCATTGCACTTGGAATTCAATACCCTAAAACAAGAATGTTATACCACTACTGAGTTGTTTATACAGGAATAAATGCTTCCTGATARTGGAGCTCCTTTTGCCTACAGTTCCACATGCTGCCCTCTCCTGCCCCACAATCAAACATGCACTCATGCAACACAAAAATTAAGGCAGCTGCAAATTAGCACCACACTAATTACAAACCACCTAGGTATATGAGAGCACCAGGTCTTTATTTCTCTTTCATCACTCAATTTACAATTTTCCTTGTTATAAGACACTTGTTAAAACTAGTGAAGTTAATGTAAACAATGACCATTTTGTGCAATACGTGCAAGCCAACACCTGGAGTAAAAGAGGAGAAACAAGCTCAAATGATTCCACAATAATTTGTACAGCAGTTTTCCTCTATCAGAGGATTACATAAACATAATAAAAAGATGCAAGTCCTCCTAAAGTAAATATTTCTAATTTCAACTTGCTACAATCTACTTGTAGACTGTAGAATAGGAGACAACCGAGTTTATAGGGGAGGAGAGGGGTCTTGCTTCTCTCTCACTCGGTTGCGAGGTAACCTTCCCTTGCCTTTAAGGAGAGACTCATGACGGGGGCCATTAAATATTTTAGTGATTGCTTTATTTGAAACCACTTTGAAAGTCTTTGATCATCGAAYGAAACACTATAAAGAATCAGAAAGCTTAATTAAAAAAATAAAATCACATTTTCAGCACTCATTACACAGAACAGTTCAGAAATGGGTCATAAGGGGGACTAGCCTGCAGATACATCTCCCACTTAGAGTGACAGGTATTAGGATTCAAAATTCTCACTGGCAAAAAATTAATCCTTGGCACATTTGGGAAGTTTGTCCTTTCTATGGATTAGACGTTAAGTCAAGTACCACAGGTAACAGAAGGAACAAGGTGACAAAGAACTTGAAGTCTCTAACAAGAATTTGTCTTGCCTTTGAGCTACAAACCTTATAAGCTAAAGCTAAGAATATTTTGGGTGCCCCCATCCAACTCATTCTTTCAGAAGTGTAAGGATCTTCTCCACCCAAACTACTTGCAATTGTCTCAAGTTACCAGTTCTGCGTATTTTCAGGTTTTAGTAGGCACAGTTTCAAGATGAAACATAGATGATTCATCAGAAAATTAGGTTTAATTATCAATCCCTGTATTATTCAAATGTATATTACAGAAGAATTGATTAAGTCATCATGGTAGTAAAACAATCCCTCTCAGGTTTGTTGGTTAAAATTAAATGATTTTCCCAATGTTAGAACAAAGATTAAGTGACATTTTATTGCTGKTGTTTCCCTGGTTGGTTAGGTTTCCTGTTCCCAAAGCCATCACTGGCAAGAGGTATTGATGAAAATTTTCAAAGAACTCTTCTATTCATACAATATTTGCACACAAGTCTCAGTTCTGACATTGCTTTTTAATGCCACAAAACTCAGTTCATACTTTYATATTTCATACTTCTCCTGAAGTTTCTATAAAATGCCATCAGTTGCCTCCAGATGTGGATGTGAGTGATCCTGGTTCGGGCTTGACGCACAAGGGCTGCTCCTCACCAGCCCTGCTCTAATCGCTCGGATGCCGGCACTTCTGTGGGCTGTTGAAGAGGAGAGACAACTTCCATCCAGTATCCTGGGACTGGAGATCCTTGCCACAGAGAGAGGGAAAGGCCATTTTAACAGGAGCAATCACCAGAATGGACTTTTCTTGCTGATCAATCCAGCACAGCTTACAATTAGATGTTTGCACATCTTTGGGACTGTGAAACTTCAGTATTTTCCTTCTCTATTTCCTTCCACTGTGACTTACTACAAATGCTTTTGTTTGGTTGTTTTCCCATTCCCCTCTATAAATCCCAGAGGCTCTTTTGAGCAGATACAGCAGTATTTTAACCATATTTTAACCAACCTGATTTGATTAGGAATTTGGGATTAGGAATTGGAATGGAATCCCCTTATTTCCATAACCTCTCATTGAGGGTTTTATTGAAGCTATCACTATCTTATTTATTAACTGACATTTAAACCCTTTATTTCTAATCGATTATCGAGAAACACCAAAAATTTATGTAAAAGCATGAATAGTAGTATCAGGACTTTGATGCAAGAGTGAAATAAAAAAGATATAGCCGTTTACTTTAATAGAGGAAARGCTGCACTTTCCTTAATGCTGTACTACGTCCCTGCTTGTGCTCTTGGAAAGGTCACTAAAGCACCCACTGGATAACAAGTGTTGGCTGACGGTTACATTAGCTCCTAGACAAGTTACTTTGGATAAAGTGACCAGACCCAGAGTCCTTCTCCTGGGGCTTAAGTTACAGCCCAACTTTTCAAACGACACGTGCCTCCTCCAAGACTTTACCTCTGATCACATAAAAAACATCAAAAAAATCCCCGTGATTTCTTTATGCTCAGCAAGTCCAACCATTCTCTATTTTCAAAATGGATCACTTAGTGATATCAATAATAAATATCAATAAAGGTTGATGCAACCTGAGAAAAAAATAAACCCTGAATTATAAATTCCCCAAATACACATCAGATAACTCATTATACTTGTGCTATGAAAGCAAAAGCACACGTGCAATCCAGGTAACCAAGATAAAATACAACAAGCAACTATTACACAATTTGAAGTTCTCAGTCAGAAAACCACGTACCATTTCTGTGAAATCCCTCAATTTGATTTTCATTGTTATGCTGCCAGGTAGAAATGTTGCAAGTTGCATTTTGACCAAACACTATATTAAGCTTTTTTGCTTTATGGAAACAGGATTGCTTCTCTGGAGATTTTGCTCTCAGCAACTGATTGTCCTTATGGTTTAAGGCAGAACACTCCTAGGTTGATAAGGAAAAGTTTATTTAAAACTATTTTCACAAAAGTTCCCCAAATAGAACAAGATCCAAACTTAGGATCTTAAAATTTTGAGTCACAGTTAGTCTAAGCCCCACTCTCCACTCTGAGATGAAAAAGGCATGAAGGACATTGTTTTCTCCCCCACATTTTTCAAACATGCAGGAGTGGTTTTAAATCACATGCATGTTCTGAATGTGCCAAAGTAGATGCTTTGGGCCAGCAAAATCCATTTTTTTTTTTTTTTGCCATTCTCTGCAAGTTCTTGTTCTGAGAGTTGCAAGAAACATTAAATAACTTCACACTTAAATTCTCATCCAAATTATAAAGTTGAACTTAATCAGGATGTAGCAATTGAAAGGTCAACAGCAGCTGAAGAGAGCAGGTCAAAGAATACCCATCAACACTAYCTTAAGGATTCCGAAGTGTGCAAAGTCACACAGTACTGGGGAGCCTCTAGGGCAGGTCTAGAATGAGGGATGGACTCTGAGGGATGCACTTACTCATGGGCCCTATGTCCAACACAACATGCATGTAATTTTCAGGAGATATTATGTATTTTCAGAAGCTAAAAAATGTACCTACTCTTCCTATAAGAGAAGGCAGAACTATCCTAGCCAAACTCCTGGGTAGAATCAAATCTTGATATTATTGATCTGAGACATCTTCAATCTACTCACTACTATGAATCACAGAAGGGTTGATGTTGGAAGGGACCTCTAGAGATCATCCAGTCCAACCTGCCTGCTCCAGCAGGGACACAGTTCTTCCTCACATGGAGATGGAACTTCCTGTGTTCCAACAGCAAAATAAAGGCAGGCTACCATGCATCAAAAGCCATAAGCAACCTCAGAACTTACTCTTCAAGCACTTACCACAGTTACCCCTGAAACTGCCTTTGTCACTGTCATATAACACACTTGCTTTTTAGGCCCTTCTAYGTTTTTCCTGTATTTATTCCTTATTTTCCACATAATGTCTGAAATGCAACTAAATAAACATGTCTCTGGCTATTTTTTTGTCCTGACAATTTGTCTCAAACCTCTCCAGATGAAAGAAAACAAGGGCATAGAAGCTGTAGAGGGTAAAGTTATCACTTTTGTTCCACAGTGTARCTCCTACCTTTGTTCTGAGAAGCTGAGATTTGTTCTGAAAGACATGCGAGCTCACATCATTCTCTCTGCARCTGTTCTCAATCCCAGCAATATCCATGATGCTGCTTCCTCCTGTCTGTGTATTATAGCCACTGTCCACCTAAAAAGCAAGAATCAGAGCTTTAAGACGCCTAGCAGTTCATTGCTAATAAACTCCTCAAATGCATTTCAAATTTGTGGGTGAAGAGGTGTGTGTTTCATTAACACAGCTTTGCCACACAAAGCAATGAGTTATGTGTGTTAGCAGCAAGCAGCAGTTTGGATTAGGTTTCATTCATTGCGTGCAGTAACCCAAAGAGCATTCAGAGCTGCTGCCAGGCCAGTTCCCAAGGGGAAAGGAGGTGGGGGGAGCCACGGTGGGGGCTGGTGCGCGCGGAGGGGAGCGCGGCRGCGGCATTGCCGTCACCTGGAGGCTGCTGCCGTCGGCGGGAAGGGCGCTGCTCTCCGCCAGCGGCGACACGCACATGCGCGAGGTGTCCATGCTGATGGCGCCGCCGCCGTGGGGCACCTCGGCGGTGCCGCCGACCCCACCGGGCGCCGCCCGGGCCCAGGCGCCCCG